AACGAAGACGGAAATTCCCATTCACTATGATTATACACAGAGGTTCGAATTTAGGTTAGATTTACACCTGATATTCAATGGAGGGACCCAAAATTACAAACTTGGCATAAAACACGAAGCTGTAAAACTAGTTCCCCGTGCTAGAACATCTGTACCAGCACCTGAGGGATTTTATTAGCCTTAAATTGATCCATCCACCGTGTTTATATCCTTAGACAAAATTAAAATCAAGATTTCGATTAAAATTCATTGAAAATGGATAGAATTTTGTTTTAGTGCTTGTAAGCTGAGCCTATACTGGTTCTTATTTTCCCTTTTCGGTTTTTAATGGCTGATCACAAGACCAGGTCTCTTGTAGTGACAGATGTGCTTTACTATCATCATAAAGTTCAAAGTTAAGACATGGACATTATCAAGAAGAGTAGAAGAAGACATTTTTGAAAACGACAGTTTAAGATAATCATGCAGATTCTGAATATTATTATATGCCTGTACGGTGTAGTAAAAAAATGCATTCTCTACAATTTGATATGGTCATGGTATCGCAAGAGGAGAGAAGTGAATATGAAATTCAGATAGCAAAAACAATATTTTTTTATTTACAGAATTGTATGATTTTAATTTATTTAATTAATCGTTTAATTCCTTATTTCCAAATAGAAAATGGATTATCGGTTTCATTTGTTTTTCCTCCGTTCTCGTGAAAGTGAGGGGACATTAAATTAATCTCTTTCGTCTGTCCGTCTGTATAGGTCTGTCCATCTGTCACAAAAACTTTAACCTTGGTCATCTCTTTTGAATGAGAAGAGAAAGGCATATTACACATGTGTATTGCCTGTGACAAGGCCTCTCTAAATGCACTATGATCTTTGACCCTGTAACCTTGAAGTTTGACCTACTTTTAAAACATTTATACCTTACTTTGAATTGGCCATAACTTTGGAATTAGAAGGGACAGGGCTTTCATATTAGACAAACGTATTGCCTGTGACAAGACCTTTCTAAATACACCATGACTTTTGACGCCGTGGCCTTGACCTTGAAGTTTAACCTTCTTTTAAAAAATAAACATTACCCTGAATTGGCCATAACTTTTGATTTAGAAGACGTAGGGCTTTCATATTATACATGTGTATTACCAGTGACAAGACCTTTCTACATACACTATTATTTTACCTAGTGACCTTGACCTTGAAGTTTGACTTTCTTTTCAAAACGTTTGACAATAATCATTAATTACTATTGAATGAGAAGAGACAGGGCTTTCATAGAAAACCTGTGTATTGCCTGTGAAAGACCTTTCTAAATACCTATGATTATTTTTTATCTCGTAACCTTGACCTTGAAGTTTGGTGTACTTTTCAAAAATGTAAATTTTTCCTTGAAACTTTTGATTGAGAAGAGATAAGGCTTTAATAGTTGATAAGTACATTGTCTGTGACAACATATTTGCGAGCATGCTATTATTTTTGACCCCTTGATTATGATCTTCACGATTGACCTTATTTTCAAAAAAATCAACTGTTGTGCTAACTTCTGAATGACATATGATAGGGCATTCACAGTTTATATTTGACACAACAAATATGCCATAAATACTGACAACTCACCTACAAAACACCGAAAGCAGGGGACCACAATTCTTTGAATTTGCTTATCATGTCCCGTAATTGAAGATTCGAGGGTACATAGTTTTGCCCTGTCCGTCCCTCTGTCTGCCCGTATGCCCGCAAACAATTTTTTTGCCCGTAACTTTTGAGTTGGTGAGACTTAAGCTTTCATATTTCACAGGTGTATTCCTTGTGACAAGACGTTTCTTTGGGTATCACCAAATCTGACCTCTTAACCTTAGAGCTTAACATACTTTTACAAAAAATTACCAGACTCTAACCTAGGCCATAACTTTTTGAACAATTGGTGCTAGGACTTTCATTGTGTATTCATTGTGTCAAAGTCTTTAAAATCTTTAAAATAGTGACAAGGTCTTTTAATGGGATACATATTTTGACCTTGACCTTAGAGTTTGACCCACTTTTAATTTTTTTTTCATTGGCCATAATTTTTGAACAGTTAGTACTATAGCTTTCATATTTCACAGGTTCATTCCATATTGCAAGACCCTCCTTTGGATACTAACAATCTTACCTTTTGATCTTGACCTTGGAGTTTGATTTCCATTTGAGAAACTTCAACCCCCAGCATCAGCTGCATACGGGTTAATCAGTGTTTCATGGTTTTCTGTCCCCATTATCGAAGATTTGGAGATACAGTGTATATAATTTTTGCCCTGTTCGTCGTCTGCGTGTCTGTCTGTTTGTCGGAGAAAACTTTAACATTGTTTATAACTTTTGATTGGTTTGACCAATGGCTCTCATATATTATGTTGTGTATAAATTCCTTGTGACAAGACCTTTTTGGGGTATCAATACATTTGACCTTGGACTTTGACCCAATTTTGCAAAGATTTGCCCAAATTTAACCCTGTCCGTAACTTGTAAACAGTTGGTGTTAGGGCTTTCATATGTATTTTCATTGCGACAAGAATTTTCCATGAATATACATAATTTGACCTTTTGACATAGACCCTTAAGTTTGATCCACTTTTAGATACCTTTAACCTTCGACATAATTTTTGAACAGGTAGTACTAGGGCCTTCAAATTTCACAGATGTCTCCCATGTGACAATGCCATTCTTTGGATACTTACAAAATTGACCCTTTGACCTCGACCTTGGAGTTGGAGAAAATTTTTAAAAACTTTAACCTTCGCCATAAATTTAGAACAGTTGGTGCCTGGACGTTAATATTTCACATGTGAATTTTTTTATGGTTACCTTTAATTTGATTTTGAATTTGACATTTAAGTTGCACTTACATTTAAAAAAAACTTTAATTTTGGCCACATTTTAATGGTTAGTGCATGGGCCATCATATTTTATAGATATATTCATTGAGACATGTACTCTCTTTGGAAAACAGCATTTTTCATCACTTGACCTAGGGGCTTGACTTGTATTTGAGAAACTTCAACCTTCGCCAAAAGCTGTTATACTCGGGGGATCTCTGTTTCACAAACACATCTTGTTTTTTTTTACTTATTATTTCAAAAAGCTTATGGATTTAATGGAGTATATTTTACAGTTTAAGAGTGAAAGGAAACCATCTGACAAATATGCAGAAATAGATTGTAATTCATTTAAATATTTCATTTCTGCCCTTCCCTGGCCATCTCTGACGAGAATGTGCGCATAGCCGCATACGGTTAGTCCACACATTGTGTGTCGGGTATAGAAGCAAACTGCCTGTTAATTCCTGTTGGCTGTCTTTTATAACCTCTCCTGTCTTCATTATTGGTCCGGTGTCCTTGTCTTGTCTAAATAAATTAGTGACAGGCAGTGATCAAATCAGCCCCGACTCTGTCGAGCTTTTCAGCTTCCGTGCCATATTCTATGCTCTGAATACATCCACTAAACTTACTTATGAATTATAAAGTGCTTAGTGTCGAGTTCCATAAATTTGACTCTATATCCAATTAAAGGAAATATTCTGTTCAACCATCGGGGGATTAGTACGTTAGCTTTTGAAGACCAGCTAGGCGGGTAATTTTGATCGTGAATAATTCTATGACCCCGGGTCAAGCACTAAGGCGTTAACGACCAAAATTTAGAATATAGTGGAAGAAATCAATGCAATTATAGAAATGTACAAAGACTGTCTCGAAGTTAGTGAAGTGCAATGAGAAATTAATGAAGCACATTCTTAATTAACTCCCAAAGAGGAGTCGCCTTACTCTCCTATGGGAAGTATTTCCATATACAACATGCACATCGTCGTCTGAAACTCAGTTTGAACTCCAGAAAATCACCACTTCGTCATGGAAATCGTTTCCTCATTTCCTCCTTTTATCCACAATTATAACTAATTTGATTGTTTTAAGAACTTGTTTTAAGAACTTTTAGGCTGTATAATTTAAACTAAACGTCTTGTAGATAATTTGTACAGGCTACAAAGATTGAGATCAACATTATACAAATTTATTATACCTCTATTGATAATACTCGAATTTGATTGGCTGGTAAGAAAACTTTAAAACACAACAATGACTCCAAATGGTACTGTTTACAGCAATTCTGACCTAGGAATCATTGCACGTGGGATATAATGACCCGGTCATTATTTTTAATGACCGCTAAATATGACCGCTTAATCAAAAATTCGTTTTTGAGCGAAGTTCATGCATAAAATACTAATTATTCGAAAAAAAAACAACGTTTTTTAAAATTGTGCATGGTTTGTTTTGCATTACATACAGAATACGGTAAAATTTTATCGTTACAATATATCGTTTCAATATATCGTTACAATTCAGTTCAATAGAATGTGGAGGCGGCTCTTTAAAGAGTTGAATTCTGTGTTAGATTTTGACTGTGTAGAGGAAAAGTAATCGTTAGTTATAACAATGTATGTCGCTATCAACCAAATATTGTTTTAATCAGTAAATCATTATGCAAAAACTTACACGACTTGCAGACGTCAATGTAAACCAACTTCACTATCCGGTCTGTAGCGAATCCCGATCCCGATCAAAGGAAGAATTGACAACGGTTAGAGATTCATACTTTTCGATATATATCGGTGTAATAAAACAATTAATTACCCCTTGTGAGTTCAACATGGTGAAATAAGGACCCGAGACCTGGCCCACTCGATGACCTCACCTGACCTCGGCCGCTACGCGGCCGAGGTCTGGCCCCGCCGTCACCAAAAATTCCTCAACCTCACCCTCAATACTCAACTCAAACCCCTTGAGGTTTCCCTAACTGAGGATTTCCTCAATTCACCGTCACCAAACAGACTGAGTATCACCTCAATAGAGGTGATTTTTTTTCCCTCAACTCAGTTGAGGTGTTACATCAATAACATCGCGCACTTTCGCGGAATTTTTACGTAATGATTTTACGCAATAAATATCTGTCGTCTGTGTATTATTTTGTATGAAAATGGATGAGAAAGACATAATTGGGTTGATATCAGGGGGTAAAAGGAAACGGGGGGCTAATTGGACCAGCGAGGAGGAGATAACTTTAATTGAAGAGGTTTTAAAATTCGAACAACAACTATTTGGAAAGATGAAAGGGGCGGGGGTTAAAGGGAAACATGGAAAGGTAAAAGAAGAAACTTGGAAGTCCATCACTGACACACTGAATTTGTAAGTACTGTTATATCAATCTGAATTCACTTACTTTTTGTTTTGACCCATGACCAGACGATTCTCGCTGTGATCTCCCTTTGTAGGTGTAAACACAAATTTTATCCCAGTATATTCCAGTCCTAAATTAATACGGACAATGTTTTCTGTCGTAACCGTAAATGCCCACGGTTAATCAAAATTCCTCCGTTAATTTAATAAAATTTCATCTTAAACAGCATCACATATGTTGGTTACACCGTTATGTCGTGTATTATATACCATTTCTGGTCATAAACGACGAAAGCGGGTGGGGGCTCAAATATAGGTACAAACCACTTCAGACCGCGGCTTCAGACATTAATAATATTGGAGATTAAAGAAATTCATTTTAAAATAAAAAATCAAGTCCCAAATGGGGGGAAATAATTTGACCACCCTACAGATTTTTTTAAAAATAGGATACAAGAAAACGAATATAAATGACTACAAAAAAAATTTTTTTTTAACAAACAAAACAAAAATATAACTATTTAAATAAACAAAATATAATTACCGGGTATGTTTAAGTATATTCTATGTGATTATCCACTATTATATTTAAAAGAAAATGTTACACTTTTAAAGTGAGATGTCAAATTTGTCAAACACAAACTAGAATTTATCAATGTTTTGTTTTTAATTTCATTTATACAGACAATTTAAAAACGACAGAACATCTGACTCCATCTACAAAAAGTATGACAACATCAAACAGAGAGGTAAAATGTTATTACTTTTTTTTAGAGTTGAGCAAAGTATTTTTGGGAAATATTTATCAATGAGAAATGTTTAAAATCGCCATCAATTGTAGCAAAAGAGAAAATTGATGACATACGCAGGCCCAAGACTGGGGGAGGTCCACCATCAGCGCCCCTCACTCAGGCAGAGGAGGCCTTGTATCAGGCAATGGATACGCGACCCAACATTGTTGGCCTGGTGGGAAGCATTGATACCGATGGTAATTTAAACAATGTCACTTATTTCAGAGGTAGAACTTTGCCAGAGTAAAATTCTCCTTCTCTAGTAGAGTTAAGATTTAAAAAATGTCATATTTTGGGACCACGGAAAACTTTAAACATTTAATATACATGTACATTGTAATTATAGAACCAATAACATCTGTCCAAACACAAGAGTTAGCAGCAGTTGTTGAAGGAACCGGTGATGCTTCAACATCCTCTAAGAGCCCCGGTTTAAGTTTATCATTTAGTACAAATTCAGGTAAGATACCTATCATTTTAAAAATATATTAACACTAATCTTTGATAAGATGGTACATACGCAAGTACAGTGTATATATTTGCATTTATATTTTTTGTGAAAGATGTACGGCCTAAGGAAAAGAAGAGGAAGATGGTACCACGAGAGATCTTGGATGATCTAGAGATAAAAAATAGTAAACTTGAAAATGAGAAGCTGACACAACAAATAAACAAGCTTGTTCAAGAACAAAAGAAATTAGCCTTAGAGGAGAAAAAATTGCAAACGGAGATTGAAATGCTTGAGATTAAAAAATCATATTTATTGTGTAAATGAAGTTCTGAATTTCCAGAATTCATCATAAACCCTGTTTGTCAATGACTTACTACTTTTGAGAGGCTCTGAATAGATCACAAACTCTTGAATTGGGATCAGTAAATGTGAAATATTTATTTTTTAAACTATAAATAAACGTATGTACTTCAGTATATCAAATGAAATTCTGAAACATATGTCACTATAAACCGTCAACCACTTGAAAATGACCTGAAATAGACAAAAAAATGTTATATAAATAATTGTTATTGGTTGAATCAATGTATAGTTGTATACATACACGTAAGTTGTGTGATCTTCGGTATTATGAATTCAAAAAATATGCAAGTGTTTATGAATATGTGCATACCTACATGTAGCTCTACCCGAAATACGTCTGTGCGATATAGTCTCGCAAGTGACTTCCCTCTGGAGAATTGCACACAACTTGGTGGGCCGTCGGGTCAAATGCATCCTCTTGCTGGTCCAATCTATCCATCACATCACCAGTTCGAATCCCAAGATTATGAAGGATGACGCAAGCGACAACGTATGCTACTGCCTGTTCAGGGACCGTTCTGTAAAAAAAAAATCAAATTAGATTTGAATTTTTACTTAATTAGATGTATTTTGATTGTGGTATTCCCCAAGAGATGGCTGTCAATTATTTTAGTTGGAGCCAATATGAAATATTTAGACGGTTTATCTGTTAAAAAATTATAGAGGGTATTATTTACTGAATATAGCAAAATATGTTTTTTAGAAGTTGCATGTATTTCATCTAAATAATGCAAAGCTTCTTTACCTCAGAGTTCCTTGAAGACAGGAAAACCTCCGTTTCAGAATTCCAAAACTTTGCTCAATAAGAACTCTGGTTCGACACAGAGATGCATTAAATCGTTGGTGAGCGTTTGTCTGCGGGTTGAGGTATGGTGTCATTAAATAGCGTCGACAGGGGTATCCAGAATCGCCCAACAAAATGCCATTGTGTTCACCTAAACGTACAAGAGTTTCTTAATTGAATTTCTTGAATAATAACCTTCAACATTTCAAATTTGTTTCCCTTCTCCATCGATAAACAAATGTATCAATATTTTTTAGTAAAATATAAATAAAGTTGTTTACCTCTTTCGAATTGTCGACAAAGGAAGGATTCCCGCCAAATCCTGCTATCATGGACACTACCGGGCCAGCTGGCACACACACTCGTGAATTGGAAGTTGGCATCACAAACCATCTATTTGAAATCAAAATGAAACCCTAACTTTTTAAGATGGCTGATAAATTGCATATAATGCTGCAGAGTTAAAGAATTTAAATAAAAATAATATTGATATGTAGTCTCGTAGCATCAGAAGGGGTGTGGGAGGCAACTTTTTGTTGCAGTATAGTCAGCTAAATATGATTTAGTAATTAGGAGTTCAAACGACTTTTAAAATAAAATTCTGCTTATCAAGTCCTTTTTTCAGGGGAATAGATTTTTTCATTGGCTGCCCCTTTCAAATACGACGCTCATATCACTGATGTTTTGATTAAATAGTCTATAACTTCAACATTGGAAGCATTTGATGTGAGATAAAACAACAAATAAAATAAAGAAGAAATATGATACTGACCTGTACATTCAAAGAATGGAATCCCTTTCTATTCACAAAATCCGGTTCATTTTCAGTTGGAGCCATAATTCTAATGAATGTTCCATCAACGCATCCCAGTGTGTTCGAGAATCCTGTGTAAATTTATTATACAATGTATAGTGTTTAAGTTTTTATTTATTGTCTAACTTACAATGTGTGGTAAAAATAGTACATATATATATATATAGATATGACATCCCTTTAAAAAAAACATAGTCATTAGCAGAGGTGGGATCTTGTAAAGGCTATGGGAGGGGGCAGTTTGAGGTCGGGGTAGAGGCCCATCGCCATACACAAAAAATGATTTATTAAATCTTTTAAATCGTGCAGGGGGGGAGGAGGTCAAATAGAGCCGCCGTCACCAACATCCCTCAACTCAACACTCAGCCTCAACTCTGAGGTTTTCCCTCAAATATCTCACCTCACCCTCAAGTCACCGTCACCAAAAAAAATTGAGGGATTTTCCTGAGGAAATCCTCAAATATTTAAGGATAGCTTATTACATATTATATAAATACGTCGTATTTGAAAGGGGCAGCCAATGAAAAAATCTATTCCCCTGAAAAAAGGACTTGATAAGCAGAATTTTATTTTAAAAGTCGTTTGAACTCCTAATTACTAAATCATATTTAGCTGACTATACTGCAACAAAAAGTTGCCTCCCACACCCCTTCTGATGCTACGAGACTACATATCAATATTATTTTTATTTAAATTCTTTAACTCTGCAGCATTATATGCAATTTATCAGCCATCTTAAAAAGTTAGGGTTTCATTTTGATTTCAAATAGATGGTTTGTGATGCCAACTTCCAATTCACGAGTGTGTGTGCCAGCTGGCCCGGTAGTGTCCATGATAGCAGGATTTGGCGGGAATCCTTCCTTTGTCGACAATTCGAAAGAGGTAAACAACTTTATTTATATTTTACTAAAAAATATTGATACATTTGTTTATCGATGGAGAAGGGAAACAAATTTGAAATGTTGAAGGTTATTATTCAAGAAATTCAATTAAGAAACTCTTGTACGTTTAGGTGAACACAATGGCATTTTGTTGGGCGATTCTGGATACCCCTGTCGACGCTATTTAATGACACCATACCTCAACCCGCAGACAAACGCTCACCAACGATTTAATGCATCTCTGTGTCGAACCAGAGTTCTTATTGAGCAAAGTTTTGGAATTCTGAAACGGAGGTTTTCCTGTCTTCAAGGAACTCTGAGGTAAAGAAGCTTTGCATTATTTAGATGAAATACATGCAACTTCTAAAAAACATATTTTGCTATATTCAGTAAATAATACCCTCTATAATTTTTTAACAGATAAACCGTCTAAATATTTCATATTGGCTCCAACTAAAATAATTGACAGCCATCTCTTGGGGAATACCACAATCAAAATACAATGTACATGTAATTAAGTAAAAATTCAAATCTAATTTGATTTTTTTTTTTTTACAGAACGGCCCCTGAACAGGCAGTAGCATACGTTGTCGCTTGCGTCATCCTTCATAATCTTGGGATTCGAACTGGTGATGTGATGGATAGATTGGACCAGCAAGTGGATGCATTTGATCCGACGGCCCACCAAGTTGTATGCAATTCTCCAGAGGGAAGTCACTTGCGAGACTATATCGCACAGACGTATTTCGGGTAGAGCTACATGTAGGTATGCACATATTCATAAACACTTGCATATTTTTGAATTCATAATACCGAAGATCACACAACTTACGTGTATGTATACAACTATACATTGATTCAACCAATGACAATTATTTATATAACATTTTTTTGTCTATTTCAGGTCATTTTCAAGTGGTTGACGGTTTATAGTGACATATGTTTCAGAATTTCATTTGATATACTGAAGTACATACGTTTATTTATAGTTTAAAAAATAAATATTTCACATTTACTGATCCCAATTCAAGAGTTTGTGATCTATTCAGAGCCTCTCAAAAGTAGTAAGTCATTGACAAACAGGGTTTTTGATGAATTCTGGAAATTCAGAACTTAATTTACACAATAAATATGATTTTTTAATCTCAAGCATTTCAATCTCCGTTTGCAATTTTTTCTCCTCTAAGGCTAATTTCTTTTGTTCTTGAACAAGCTTGTTTATTTGTTGTGTCAGCTTCTCATTTTCAAGTTTACTATTTTTTATCTCTAGATCATCCAAGATCTCTCGTGGTACCATCTTCCTCTTCTTTTCCTTAGGCCGTACATCTTTCACAAAAAATATAAATGCAAATATATACACTGTACTTGCGTATGTACCATCTTATCAAAGATTAGTGTTAATATATTTTTAAAATGATAGGTATCTTACCTGAATTTGTACTAAATGATAAACTTAAACCGGGGCTCTTAGAGGATGTTGAAGCATCACCGGTTCCTTCAACAACTGCTGCTAACTCTTGTGTTTGGACAGATGTTATTGGTTCTATAATTACAATGTACATGTATATTAAATGTTTAAAGTTTTCCGTGGTCCCAAAATATGACATTTTTTAAATCTTAACTCTACTAGAGAAGGAGAATTTTACTCTGGCAAAGTTCTACCTCTGAAATAAGTGACATTGTTTAAATTACCATCGGTATCAATGCTTCCCACCAGGCCAACAATGTTGGGTCGCGTATCCATTGCCTGATACAAGGCCTCCTCTGCCTGAGTGAGGGGCGCTGATGGTGGACCTCCCCCAGTCTTGGGCCTGCGTATGTCATCAAATTTCTCTTTTGCTACAATTGATGGCGATTTTAAACATTTCTCATTGATAAATATTTCCCAAAAATACTTTGCTCAACTCTAAAAAAAAAGTAATAACATTTTACCTCTCTGTTTGATGTTGTCATACTTTTTGTAGATGGAGTCAGATGTTCTGTCGTTTTTAAATTGTCTGTATAAATGAAATTAAAAACAAAACATTGATAAATTCTAGTTTGTGTTTGACAAATTTGACATCTCACTTTAAAAGTGTAACATTTTCTTTTAAATATAATAGTGGATAATCACATAGAATATACTTAAACAATTTTGAAGTTGTTTTATATTTTCCAGACAGTATTGTGATTATCCTTAATGCATATATTATAAATAAATATTTAAATTCTATCTGCTAAAAAAATTATTCCTAAAATATTAAGAAATTGTAAATTTTATAGGATCTTCAAAATTCAAAGTTTTAAATCGTCTCCTTGTTAATCAATGCGTTTTAATCCCTTTAATTTAGGGCAGTACTTATAAAAGATAATTTGAAGAAAAATCAAAGTTTATGTTACTTTATTAACATACTATAGTAAACAAAGACCAACTGCTATTTTCAAGTTTGATAAGGTGGATTTGCTAATTGATAATCCACCATTCTCGATAAACAAGATTTTCCTCTATCAGACTCTATTAACATTATCAACATTGATTTTTTGATTACGGTAAATTGTGATTCTATCTTCGGGGTTCAATCGTACATAGCTCATGTGGATTTTTGGACAGGTTATTAACGGACTAAATATTCACATGTCCTTTGTCTTTTTGCTTTCCAATTTTAACCTCATTGCCGGGAGGAACACTGGTGCGTTTGATGTTCATTTTATTATCATATTTCAAAACTAAAAACACGGACCCTAATTCATTTCCATGTTCTAATTGAATAAATTTTATTTGTTTACATGATCACAATAACTAGTCGCACGTTTTTTGATGTTTCGCCTCCTAAACAAATTTATCTTGTTTGACAGCCTGGTCATAATTAATGTATGTGGTTTGGCGCTTTATTTTAATGCACGGATCAACTAAAAATCGGTCGGATTATTGAATAATTCTCATGTACATTTTTACGTAAAAAACCCTCGGTCTAATCAATACACTCTACTCATCTCAGAAGAACGTCTGATATTTGTGTAACCTGTTGAAAAAGTAAACACTCGGACAGCTAATCGACTGACTTCAACGCATCTTCTTCTATACTTGTTGTTTAATCAAACCTAAAGTCTGTATAAATTAAAAAAAGATGCAACTGAATTCAAAACCAGTTAGTGCATGTAATGATATTGAACTACTCGGACCTCCTCTGGGGTTTCCTGCGACAAAATGGAACCTCAAAACGATAATAATAAAGTAAAGAAGGAAATTGAAATAAAAAGAAAAGAATTTTTCTATAGCCCTTAGCTTAGAATTTAGGTTTTGATGTAGGGCGAGCAGCCCTTTTTACCAAAACGACTTCTCACAACCGGCGGTGATCTTTATTTTGGTTGAGTATTTGAGTAAATGATCTCCTTGAGAACACTTGAATATCATTCTGGAGAAGAAATCAAATATTTCAATAGGATACAAAATAAATTTATTTCAATACTGCGAAATAATTGTTTTTCTTGGAGGTTACCGGGGTCTGTGCTTTATTCCCTTCATATCTCAATTTCTTTACAGAAAATATGAAAAAGCCCTCCACTTTTCATACAGTGCATTGCATTTTACACTTCAAAAGAACAATTGAATCAATGCCATTGAGAATATTGATGCGACTGTGTGAGTATTTATTTTAATAATCTTGCAATATTCAATTAAAAAATACTTTAACAAGGTAAATCTTGACAAGAAGAAAATCCGGGACAAGATAAAAGTAGATCCCCCAAGGTTATTTTCGCTTGAATAGAGCGTATTACTAACGCTGTCTTTGACTTCCGAGACTTAATGCAACACTCCCTCTGATTGGTCGATAATTGAAAAGTGGGCGGGGGAATCATATTGAGTTAATTCAGGTGTGAAAGGAAAATATTGTATCGTGGAAGTTAACTTGTAGTGAATATAAAACACCTGATTGGAGTTGTTTGTATAGAGGTTTGTGTGAAAAAGATCAGCATTCGATGAGACATTTATCCTGAATTCGTCTCCAAAAGTCAATATTGAACTTTGTCATTAGACTGTGTTCACTTTTTACTTCGTAAGGAGATTTTCAACACATGTTACAATGAAGAGATCAATTTTCAAATAAATAATTAAAATTTTTCGAGGAACTTTAAACTTTTTTCCTGTTCAAATAAATTTCGAAGATGGAGTTGTGGATGCTAGTGCTTATTTTCCCACTGCATTTCGCTTTCGGACAAATTGTGGAATATAGTTTACCAGAAGAAAAAGCACCTAATACTTATATTGGAAATGTAGCCCAAGATGCCAACATCTCAGGCCTAGCACAAACCGAGGACCTATTAAACATGGAATATCGCATTTTATCTCAGTCTAACCCCTATGCAGAATTATTTTCTATTAACGAGAAGGATGCCAACTTATACACAGCTAAGCAAATTGACAGAGAGACGGTGTGTAAATTTGATGAAAAGTGCATCCTAAAAGTGGATGTCATTGCGAGATCATCATCTGGAAACTTCTATCAGAAAATTCAACTCAATCTACAGATCCTGGATATCAACGACAATTATCCCAAATTCTCCAGGGGCAGCATCGACGTGGAATTGTCTGAGGGTTCGTCCGTGGGTACGTCCGTGCAGATTGAGGGTGCGATCGATGCCGACACGGGGATGTACGCCGTACAGAATTATGTCATCTCCCCCAATGACAGTCCATTCGATGTCCACTTTCAGAAGAATGTAGACGGTAGTTCTATCGTTAAGCTGGTACTCCGAGAAGCTCTGAACCGCGAGGATCGGGAGTATTACCTCATCCAGGTAACACAAACATGACACATACATGTACTATCATCATACATCTACCCTATATGATCTCATTCTTACAATATTCAGCCAATTTCTTACTCTTATCTTCATTATCGAGTTTCACTCTTTATTTTTCTCGATGGCTCTATTTCTAAGTTATACCATTCAAACAAAAATATTATGCTTCTCTCTTCATTGTAACAATTTAAATCTGCTGAGAATCTCTAAAATGTATTTAAATCAGTTTCAATACAGGTAAGAATAATTTAAAGAAAAATCCTTTCAGTTTCATATAATTAAAGCTAATTTAACTTTGAGAGTGAATTTAATTTTTATTCACGACTGACAGATAAAAGAAACATGACAATGTTTGATCTGTGTGAGAATAAAATCTACAGCGCAACATTTAAACTCTTATAGCTGGTCATCCATCAAAATTATTTTGACAGCCAGACATCTTTATTTAGAAAGTTTGTTTTTATTCCTTTTTTTTTTTAAAAAATTAATAAATGCATAAAAATAATATGTTCTCTTTTTTGTTTTAGGTTCTAGCTCAAGATGGCGGAAACCCTCCACGATCCGGCATTCTCAATGTCAACGTTTACGTCACCGACGTCAACGACAATTCCCCCGTCTTTATCACCTCTAACCTGAATGTGACAATTGATGAAGATGCTGCAATCAACTCAACTATTCTTGTCGTCCGGGCAACTGATGCAGACAAGGGAAATAACTCCGTGATTGTCTATAGTATAAGTGAGCGGCAAGATCTTCGTATTCAAACTCTTTTTGGAATCGAACGCTACACTGGACGCCTGCTTCTAAAGGAATCTCTAATTTTTGAACCCGGAGAAAGTTATAAGATCATAGTAGAAGCTAGTGATAGCGCTAAACAACCAAGAATTTCACAGACCCAGGTTATAGTCAATGTTAATGATACTCACAATAACCCACCCCAGATAACTGTAGACCCTCTTTCCGGTACTGCTGATGCAGAAATTTCAGAAAAAGCCAAATTTGGTGCTCCGGTCTCACATATTACCGTTTTTGATCCAGACACTGGGTACAATGGAAGGGTTAACTGTTCTGTCGACGACAAAGCTTTCGCTGTACAACAGTTTGGAGAGCCAAGCGGTTATAAAGTTGAATATAAAGTAGTCGTGAATCAGCCTCTGGATCGAGAAAATTTGGGAGTGTACAGAGTGACCGTTCTTTGTGAGGATGAAGGACATCCCAAACTGAACGCATCCGCAACATTCCATGTGAGGCTAATTGACGAAAATGACAATTACCCAGTTTTCAGCCAGAAAGTGTATCAAATCATGAAAGCTGAAAACAATGAAGTTGGCGACGTTCTTTTACAAGTGACAGCCACTGATGAAGATACTGGTGACAATTCAATGATAAAATATCACTTACAACCTTCCGTGTATAATTTTGGGATAGATTCTGTTACTGGACTTGTCAAAATATTATTCAAAATGGACAGAGAAACAGTGAATGAATACAGACTAATAGTATATGCCGTGGACCAAGGCGAGGATCCAAAGACTGGGTCGGCGGAGATCCTCGTCCAGGTGTCAGACCTGAATGATAATGCTCCAGTCTTTGAAAACGATAATTTGAATTTTAATGTGCCAGAAAACTTTGGACGTAATGTCACGGTAGGAGTGTTGTTAGTGTCTGACGGAGACAGTGGTGAAAATAACCGAGTATCGTTTTCCATAGACCCCAAGTCAAAGCCTGGCCTACCGTTTGAAGTATTCTCCAATGGCTCTATGATTGCTGTAAACAGCTTGGATCGAGAGGAACATTCCGCATATACTTTCGATGTGATCGCAAAAGATCACGGTGTCCCCTCCCAATCCACCCGAGCTAATGTGACCGTTCGAGTCCTAGATATGAATGACAATGCTCCTGTTTTCATCTTCCCTACCATTAATAACAATACTGTTACCATTTCATACCAAACCCAACCAAACCAGGTCATTGCGCACCTTAAATCTAAAGATTCAGACGAAGGACTAAATTCAAAAGTCACCTACCTAACCCCTGGAAGAAATCTCTCCAATCTATTTCAACTTAATACTCTGTCTGGGAGGATAATCTTAACAAGGGCCCCCAATGAGGAAGATGTTGGGTCCTATACAATGCTAGTGTATGCCCAGGATAAGGGGACCCCTCCGAAAATTACCCAGGCCTTTCTGACCATTGTCATCAGTAACATTCCCCTAGATGGGGCAAACATATCCCCCGTGCAACAGGAACACAAGTTTTATATCATTGCTATAGCTATCACCTGTGTTACTGGTGTCATTGCAGTAGTAATCATTTTGACAATTTGTTTAATTAAACGTGCAGATCGCCTTAAGATGAAGTATCAACAATCTCATAATGAATGTGAGGTGAACCAAGGATTCGAACCCAGGAAAAAAGTGAGTTTTTCCATGGATGCCCCGGATTCCCCCAAAGTTGTTACCCACGTGACCTCAAATCAACTTTATTCTGCATTAGCTAACCAGGTAGGCCTTTTAAAAATACAATTACAGGTTATAAGTTAAACTTATTATATTCAATATTTCTTAATTTTAAATTATAAATAGGCAATAAATGTCATTTTTTGCCATTTGATATTCTTTGCTCTAAGCTATAATTCGACAAAGCATGAACTATTTTCTTAAAAGATAAATTAGTTTATATAATTGATATTCATGATTGAAAAACAATTATAAGAAGGGAAATGTCACTGTTCGACAAAGGTTACATCGTAAATCAGTCAAAATCGAGTATAATTTACATTCTGAATAGGGGCGTAATGAAATAATTTCCTGCCTCACATATTTATGATCCCTAAGTTCATTGAAAACCTAGATTTGTCATAAAATGGTCATAAATCCTACCTATGTCCCCTTTGGTCAGTGTGACCGCGTCACTAAAAGAATAAAACAAGATATTGTTAAATTCAATTAAAAGGGAAAGCGTGTTGGTGATTTAAAGCGATAAGATAAACCGGGACAATGGAATTCTCATCAAACTTATCTGACCGTGCAATTGTCGTATACAAATCTGGAGATCCAGGGAAAACTATCAAACATAAACTTCTTAGGTATAACAGGGTGTTAAAAAATGGGAGAAAAGGGTGGAATGTTTATACTGATCATGGTATAGGGTATTAAGCTAGTTTTATTCTCGGTTGACCCAAGACAAATCGGTGCTGTTCTAAGCTCGTAAACATGGCAAAGGGTGGTCAATCGTGTCGTTGCAGATGGATAAAAAGATAAACTAGGTGCGTATTAGTGTAAGTGATGTCAAAATATTTCCAAACGCATAATTACATAAAGCCCACAAGCCCCAAATCTGCCCATGAACAATACAGCCTAAATGCTTTAACACCCTAACAGCAGGTCCTCGGTGAAAACATTTTCGTGGTATTTAGTCTGCGCTTGCACAATGTATCCTTCAGTGCTTTGTAACACCAAAAAACAGCGGGTATCGGTTTAAACTTTTACGTATTTCTAAGCAATGCCATCTATCCATAACTGAACGGACTATGTAGGTTTTAGTTGGCCCCTAGGAAAGAACGGCTTCGTGACGGTCTTTGGTCGGGAAACGAACAAGACACACACGTAACGTTAGACTCTCGTGTCCCCTGGCTGTTTATACGGCTTCAAACACTGGATGATTTGCTGTGGACCTACTGTTGGTCTGTCCGCAACAAAGAATAGAAAAAATCACCAGTTTTGCTTCTTGTTTTTCTTATATTGTAATTGAAAAGGTTGTAAACTTCAGTATTATTTTTCAATGTGACAAAACAAGAAAATGTTCGCTGAAGTCTGTGTCGCGGAAAATTTAATAATTGTAAAACATTTTACTACAGATTTTGAGAAGAATGGGAAAATTTAATATTATCTTTTTGAAAAAAAAAATCTAATTTGAATCCATGATAAAGCGCAAAATTAAGGGGTCATCCAAATTTTTGTATCTTAATGTATAGAACATTTTTATTAAATTTAAATGTACATGTATCCTATACTTAGTGCAAATGAAGGTCAGTTTTTTGCAAGATTTCGGGATTTATTATTTATCTCTTAGATCTGAAATATTTTCGTTTTCTCAGTAATCTGTCATGTTTATTGATGAGTCCTGTCCACATCTGCCATTCGTTCCCGCGCCGTGTCATATACAGATAATTTTGACACAATTTTTCGGAGGTGACCAATCGTTTAATCTCGTCCGTACATCTGATTGATGGATTTGAAATTGTCGTTTTCCTGCACATATCGTCTGCATCATCATCGCTTGGCTTGAGATACAAAAGTTGCGAACTCGAGGAACTCTTAAGAGTGGAAATAAATTGGTGGTCGCACGACATGCTTTATGGTTGAAGTGAGCATTGTAATCACGGCATAATTGCGACAACATTTGTGTCCAACCCTCTTAAAAACTTCCCTGAATTTGCATAAGGAAAAATAAACAATTTGACGTTGATATTTAGTTATTTCAATATGAACAGCAACATTTCAATAATGGATCAAAAATAAATATTTATATAGTATTATAATTAAAATATTTTTTAGTACGTCAAGAACATTTGTGTATGCATACAGGCCAATCTTAGGCATTTTTTTAAAGTTAAGACAACTATTAAATTTATTATATGCATATTTTTTTAAAATTGATTTCTTTAGGTGGCCGGTTCCAGTCGTTTGAACTACCAGCCTCGATATCACAATGAAATGTATGACAGACAACGGAGTCAAAACACTTCCACTTCAAACAAGGTATGGATTGGTTTGAAGAAAATGTACTTTTCCTTTTCCTTTTGAAAATTAATTCAAAATTTTTTTTAATTTTATAAATCTTCCTCGATCCCAATGAATGATGATAATTTTTGCAAATGTTATAATAAAACAAACATACATATAAATGGAACACGTGTTACCTTCTCAAAAAGATAATGCAATATAGATTTTGGTATTTTTGATAGGCTTTGCATAATACTACTCACGAAGGCGACAACCACAGCATCAACTCGGCAGATACAGCGACAAGTGACAGCGGAAGAGGCGGAAGTGACGACATGAACACTAGTTCCATGTTTCCTAGTTCTCTAGATTTTGGTAATTTGCTCTAATTTTTCAAAGTTTATTTTGCTAAAAGGGATTGCATTTATGAAATCATGATAGTTCATAGTTTATATGTGCAAATACTGAAATTACTGTTGAAACTGAGGAGTGGAAATGCTTTAATAGATTAACCGATTTATTTTCATTTTGAATAGTAACGAAATAAAGGAAAACAGTTTATATTTAACAATTTTATACATTACAGATCAAGACAGTAGAACGAGAAGTAACCGCTCAAATTCATCCCACCATGAAAGAGATAAATCTAAGTCTCAAACAACGCCACCTAGTGACTTTTTCAATTTAGACTTTTCTTATGGTAGTAATGTGTATCCAAATTTAAACAGTTCTTATCCACACGGACTAGTCCCTTATAATACTACCGGAAATGACGACAGTACCACGACATCTGGTAGCTATGTCCTTGACCCAGAAGAAGAAATGAAAGAGGTCACTCAGCCAAGCAACAGATGCATTGTTTGAGCAATAGTCCAATAATCAAAGTGAATAATTAATCAGACATTAGAGAGGGCGAAAAAACTTGTGAAATAGAAAATTGTCCTGTGGATGGCGTTTTCCAAAGTGCCATTAATGAAAAAACGTGATCAATCGGAACTGATAAAAGGTGAGAAATTTCGCAGATTCATAAAAACAGGCTTAATTCTACATCAAACAAACGAGAGAGAAGTGTCAGATTGGATATGTGACTATAGAAAAAGGGACTGTTTAATAAAGAACAAACTGTTTTCACAACACTGAACTGTTTGTTAAGTGAAAACCATTTATCTGCTTGACGTTTAAAGACTTTATTTGCTCTTTTCAGACAAATTTTACTCTTGTGTTCCAACAAAGGAATGTGCCAAAATGACTTCAAACCAAAGAAATACTCTGTTTTTTTTTTTTTGTTATATTTTCTTACATTAAACATAAAATTCATATCTTCTTGTTTTTATTTTGTCTGTTTTATGCTTTTTAATTTGTTGTTGAGCTCTTTGTTAATACAGTTATTTTGTCTGTCTTTGTATCAGGCCCTAACGTATGCTTAAAATTATTTCCTTCAAGAAATAAAATTACCCAAATCATAAGGAAGATCACAAGCTTTGTGTCCATTTAAGCTTTATAGTTCAGAGAGAAAAATATTTCACGTTTTCTTTTTTTTATACATGTATTTTTTTATAAAAGAAATCAAGTAAATATAAATAAAATAAATATATTTTTATATTTCAACAAAACTTCGGCAGTTCCTTTATCAGTATAAATAAATGATATGTTTTCCATTTTGATATTACCTTATAATTTATCTTTTAAAATAAATTTTATCAAAAACCGGATACAGAAATATTTTGAGCTTAGATAATCTTTCTACTTCACAGAAGTTAACGGCCAGAAAAATGAAAATGAGTAGGAATAAATTCATTTTAATACGTTAAGCGTTTTTCTTATGAGATAAACTCATATATGCGGTAATATACACAGGCACCTGAAGTATGGATGATACCCCCCCCCCCTTTTTTTAATGAAAAAAAATGTAAGAGTGTATAATACCTTATGTCGTTAATGCAAACAGATTGTACTTTTTCTCACGTTAAAAAAATGGCCCTATTCGGTATATAAATTTTTTATTATACCGAATAGGGCCATTCTTTAAACGTGAAAAAAGTACAATCTGCTTGCATATAACGACATATAGATGTGTTTGACGGGGAAATTTTATATTTTCGAGGTATTACACACTCTTACATTTTTTTTTCATTAAAAAAAAGGGGGGGTATTATCCATACTTCAGGTGCCTGTGGTAATATATTCAATTTGGAATTATAAATTTATTAATATTGTACTTTTTTGAATATAGAAAACTTCTCAATTACATTTAGATCTAAATAAACTTCAAATTTAAAAAAAAATTCAAATTGTCGAGCAATTTCAGTACTCTGTATCAGCAAATATTTCATTTTGTCTAAGAAATAATGCTATAGTAATACTGGTACATGTATTTCATATTGAAAAATTAGACTAAAGAAAATTATTTTTATATGCAAAGTCTTACGTGTTTTCTATCTCCGAGAAAAGAAAAATGAAGTGGAAAAAACAAATGATGTGAATAAGCTTCTGAAATAGTATTTTGAATTTCAGTGAACCAATGTGTCGATTTTTCTAATAAAAAAACTTTTTAGATGGCTTCATTAAAATCGCATTTTTTTAATCCTAGGGGGCTAAGTATCCTGTTGCAGTCAAGATGAATACCCAAATTTAAATCTTGTTAATCTTCATTGTTGACAAATAAATAGAAGCAATTCACCCATTTCAAAGAAAAGAAATTGTGAGTCCAGTCAAGGAACTTCGTATGACGGATATTTGAGTCATTTTATTCAGTTTCTGTACAACTTTGTGACAACAAATATCTTATTTCGAATCACTTAATTAAGGAGACACCACCCCAGGGCTTCAGTATCTATCTTCAGAATGTGACAAATACAAAGTATGAAAATAAAAAATTTACAAATTACTTCACAAGTGAAGATCTCATATTTTTTTTTAACAAAATTGGAAAGGGAAAATAAAAACGTAATACTAGAATGTGTCAGACAGGTAAAAAAGATTTTCTTTATGAAAGCTGTTCTTAAATAATTATTATGTCTGTCAGAACGGATTTCCTATGTGTTCTGATAGAGCCACCAGTAATAAGATGTACAAGTGACACGTAATATATGGGAGTTGTAGACTATCTTTTTGTGTTGGGGGACCAGACGCATCTTTTTTAGATGAACAGAAGAAAATAAATTTAAGAGATGTCAGAAAAGCAAGAAACACATGTTAACATCGTCACTAATGTTTGTTAGGACCGGTGACTGTAAATAATTAATAATGACATTTAATCGTTTATTCACAGCAAAATGGGTGAAAACAGTAATTAAAAACGACCTCATTATCCGTTGATTGCTCATTATGAACAAAACATGTGTAAAATTATATATTTTATAGGTAATCCAATAGGTACTTAATAGAATTATTGTGCTAAAATATATTTTAAAGAAAACACTATAAATGACAGAGAGATGCATTTTCCAAATTGAAGATGGCAGTATATGTTTACACAAAATGGTTCCGGTAATCTTTAATTGAGACATACTATATCCCTTTGTGTTGAGATAATTGAAAAACCGAAAGACCTACTCAGATAGATGAAACGTTTACGTAACACACGATACTTGGGTAGATATATGTATGTAAAAGGGGGTGTCTCGCACAAGCTTCCTAACTCAGACCATTAAAACTCAACAAAAAGATATCTCAATGGCGATTTAAATCTTACACTAGTCACACTTTTCATTACCGGCCATTACATACACCAAACCTAGTATCAAATCCTAATAAAGCCACAGAAATGAAATGGCCGAGACATAAATTGAAAAAAGAGAGTTATTTAAAGCTTTCATTCTTTGACCTTTTTTATTGTTAAGCGTCTTCATTAAGTATTCTTACTGAAAACTATCTGAATTAGATTTATCTTTGATATGCCCACTAGTTTCATTTTCAGGGTTATAAAATTGACAGCGCGGTTGAAGCATTTTGTAAATTTTTTTTGTGTGTTGTCGTTTTACATATGCCCGACACCGCAGTTGCTGATTTTTATATGATTTTTATAGCCCTTCGCTTTCCGCTCCCAATTTTTGTGACTTTGGAAGTTTTATAGACCATTTTATTGTTGAATTTAAATGTTTAATTTGAAATTAATACTTTTCAAAGACTTTTATTTTGTTGATATTGAAAGCATTAAAAATTATTTCTCAATTACTCATATGAATTTACATATCGCACTTCAAATCAAAACTCTTCATCAACCACTACAATGTACATGTATATGTAAAAGCGAATGATTGAACTCTTTGGCGTGTTTGGCTGGCATCCCCGCCGGTTTTTTTTACTACTAACTCATCTCTTCAACTTAGCTTTATGTCCATATAAAATACCCGTAGCTGCAGATGGCTTGAGATATCAATTGGCTACCTCTCCTACGGGGGACCTTGTAATGTCTTTATTCAATCGATTCAAAGTAAATGTTTGTATAAATGAATAGATTACGCCTATTAATTACGAAGAAGTCCACAAAGAAACTACATCAATAGGTCTTCACAATGCCCCTATATTCTTCCGTTAGATCTTTGACAATTTCTATAAAAGGAAATAAATGTAGGGGTCAATTTTATTACTATGATATGATGAGAAGGAATAAATTATAGATATTAATGTGATCGAATGTTTCTTCACATGCTGTTTATATCTTCAAAGTACAGTAGGCAAAGCTCATTATAAGCTATAAGACTTCTTTATGGCTAAATAATAAACCACCACATCATCTTTAAAACATGTCTAGCTTGTAGCAAGAGCAGTGGGGTTCAATTAAAGCCCGTGTTTATGTATCTTTTCATGTGTCTTCACTTTCAACTTCTTAAGAATTTGTCCCCACACCGACTATTCTTAGGGCCTCTGCACTAAATAAAGAACTGCTGAGGGATTGGATAAATATGGACATTTATTGATTTCACAAGTTTCTAAATAAATGAATTGGACGAGGTCTGAGAATTTGGTCCTAAATTATTTAAAACGTAATCCAGATACGTACAAGAGTAAAACAGGAAAGTTTTCCAAGCGAAAAAAAGAAACATCGATATATCTGCAAGAATAAGTCTAACAGAATCTCAGCTCCGGATGACCGCTAATTACGTATCGTTTTAGGACAGCCTTAATTTTACACTTTTCGTCTTCTTTAACGTATTTTGATAAATAATCTTTGCTTGAGAATTAAAATAAGATTTTTATATTTTTCAACAGAATCTATCAAGATTTATAAAATGCACCTAATGAATGGCGACTATTGGGAATATCTTTTCTCATAAATTCCCATTTTAATTCCTCTCCATTTAAAATCATCCATTAAGAAATGATGCTTTTTTTGTCTTAAACAATTTTACCGAAGAACTCGAACTTGCAGAAGGTATTCCCAGGTCAGTTCCACATCTGGATTATACTCTAACGACATTGACTGCGCTTTTAATGGTAGCGAACTAAGCTGGATTAGGGTTGATGATCTGTAATAGACACAAGTCTCGTGATCAAATATGGATACTGAAGGATCTTCATCCAATGGCGCAAGGGATCTATATTTTCTCAGTTTTATCTAGTGACGGCATGATTATTTATTTATACTTAATGTTGGTTAGAAAAGAGGATCTTGTCGTTTAAATTAATTGAAAAATCAGATTAATATACGTGTAAATGAATATTTGCATGTTAAATCTGCGTTTTATTGTGTCTTATAAATACCAATCACCAACACATTAATACATAAATTACCATTGATAAATATCAATAACCTACAACTGTGATGATATATTGAATAATAAGTCTGGAGCGAAAATAAATGATGCAAAACTGCACAACTAATAAGAGAAATGTATCTGAGAAGAAGTACGTGAAATGATTATTATAAAAAAATTTAAAAAAACAATAACTGCTAGAATTTTTTTTTTATAGATTTGATATTATTACATTAAGTAAAATTCAAAAAGAAAAACAGGCAAAAATACTTTCTATAAAAAAGAACAAAGGCAGCAAATTTTTCATCTCTTTTAACAAGAGTATTAAATATAAGGCTAGAGCAAGAAAGATGCCATAGTTTGCGATATTAAAAGAACCCTTTTTCTAGATTCATATAGGGAAAGATTAGCATTTTCAAAGGAATAGAGAAATTAGGATTTAGATATTGGTCCTATTTGAAGAAAACTCATAATTTCCACAGCATAACTGTCAAACCATGTGTCTCCAATAATCCAGAAAGCTATGATTTACAATGACCAACTCAAAGACTTCAAACGAGAAAACATCAGAAATGTGAGCAATACGTTGGTAATTTACAATAGTCATTATCAGTTTCA